TGAGAGGGGCGGGTACTTCATCGTCAATGGCAATGAGAAGGTCATACGTCTGCTGATTATGCCCAAGAGCAACTTCCCTGTTGCCCTTTATAGACCCAGCTTCTCCAACCGAGGTACTAAGCATTAGGAACCATCACGGAGATAGGGTTCGTTGGAAATCGTTACGCTCGAATGCTTCGTATAGGTCCGCTTTACTCCGCCTACGCGGTCCAGATGAGGTCCATGAGACCCGACTTGACCACCCAGACGGTCACTATGCATTATAGGAAGGACGGAACTTGTTGGGTCAGTCTTTCCTCTGCCTTTTACGCTTCAACGAGGTATGCTTCTTTAGGTAAGATTCACCTACCTCAAGAACGAGTACCTTATCCCTTTGATGCTCTTGTTGAAGTGCCTGGCTCCTGACGAGCTCAACTCTGAACGAAGCCTCTTCGAGGTGATAACGTCAATTTGTTGTGTATGCGGGCATTAGTTCTCCTCAGCTCCTCTGTGACGGTCTGATGGCTGATACGTTCGTTGCCGAGCGTGTTACGTGTATGCTGGAGCAGATGAGGACCCACCCCGAGCTGAAGCATGTCCATTCTCGCGAGGATGCCCTCTACTATCTCGGCTCTAAGTTCGAGGTGGTTTTCCGAGAGAAGCGTGGGGCAGGGGTAGGTCCAGCCGTGGTACTGCTGGTCTTGACCCAATGCTCGATCAGGTATCGCTCGATGGAATTGCACTGGAAGTTGATGATGCCGCCATGAGCCCTGTTGAGAAGTCTGTGTCGGTGGCTCGACGTCTGTTGGATTCCCTCATGCTCGTTCATTGTCCTAAGGGGGCCGAGGGTGGCAAGGCTAAGGTACCAGTGTGGTGAATTTCGTGGCGCGTGACAAATTGTGCCGTCATCAGGTCGATTGCCTGGTGCTTATTTTCCGTAAGCTGATGGCTTTGGTCCGTGGCGACATTGCTCCTGATAACGCTGATGCTATGGATGTCCAAGAGCTCCTCCTCCCTGGTCAGCTCTTCGGGGCTCTCC